GTGGTGTCATTATGACATAGTTATGGCCATAAACTTTCCCCGGATGAAGTCACGAAAGGGGTGAAGAAGGAAAAAGAACGTTCGTGAATGTATTAGAGCGAGTCTCGAATACGGCGAGTAACGGAACAAAGGGTTAAGGAATATTAATTGGTGTTGTATATCGATTGTCACGACTCGAATGGAATAGCCCAAATGCATATATTTTAACACATTTCGTAGCATATACTCGACTATGAAATCACCATAGTGTTGTGTCACATTACATCTTAACCTTATTGTATCCTCATTCAATGGGATTTTTTATTTACAGTATAGTAATTAACACCCTGTATTTGACCCTTGTCGATTATTTACATTGTTCAGAACAGCCAAAAAAATATTAATAAATGATTGTGCCGATATTGTGTCGATATTGTGTCGATAACAATTTATACGACGAGTATATGGTTTTGATATACGCAGCTTAATGGGCCATTCTACCATATCGAGCGGTTGTGTCACATCCTCATCTTTTGTGCGGCCTTCTATAAGGATTCTCATGATTCTATGGTTTTATATTATGTTACGTTTGAAATTAGATTACATTCATTACATTATTATTATATTGATTCAAATTTAATGAACAATTTACAATAACACTTGCAGATTGTATACTTTTTGGGTGAGTTACCGCGGAATGAGGCGGGAGGGTATTTCCTGCAATACCCTAATTTCGTTCGATAAATAATAGGCCTTGCCCACAAAAAACTTGTCTGTCATCGATCATCCTGTCGCCTGTGTAGTGCTTGCTCTCAGCTGGTTGTTTGTCTCTAATTCACAGAAAGTGTGCGAGCCTTCACTTCTGTTTCACACGACTTTTATAACGACTGCACTGTACTACAACCAATATTCTTTTATTTATTTCGAAAGAAAAAATTTATTCTCGCGCGTCGACTATTTGTTCAACTGCAAATACTCGCTCTAACGACTGCATTTATACTCTCGCGTACTCGCTTGTACGCCAGTAACGACAAAGTAATCAACTACTACCCTTTGGTTTCCTATCACAACGATCAATAAAAAAAATGCCTTATGACAACAAGTAAGGCTTTTGATATATTTGACGTTCAATATAGTCTTGACCAATAGTCGTAGCAAAAACCTCCCACATTTCTAACGTTAATTTCAACTATACTTTCTCTGTAATTAGCAGCATGATTTTGCCTCTGGCTTCTTCACATATGCATTCCAATAATTATGGGAGCCTGCATTCACACTTTGGCCCTGGCGCTTATCAACAGCACCCGTAAGTATGAACTGTCAAGAGCAATTGAAAAATTATTGGTATCTTTGGTGCTGAGCGCCTTATACTCGTAACCTAATCCTACCATCAACCATTTATGTCGAAAAGCAGACCCCACCCTCCTCATCAATCTCTCTACAAACACGACATTCATGACCCGCATCCGAACCATTCAATAATAAATCACAACCAAATATTGTCTAATTCCCTACCGACCGTCAATTCTCAACCTTCACTCAGTCCTATACCTTCCCTCAGTCCAATAACTTCCCTCAATGGCGGAAATAGCAACAGCGATTATCATATGTCGCATCATATCCCCCAACACCATTCAACGTATCATCATTCGCCTCCATTAGATCATGCTCAGCCACCGCAGGAAGTTTCATCTAATTACCAGAATAATCCTCAGCCTGTTACCATTCCATCTCCACCGGCGAGTATCAATCAACCTAGCTCGTAAGTAAAAAAATGGTTGAGATTGAGAAAGCAAGAAGAAATACGTTTCCATCACCAGAGAGTGCCCGAATATTACCTGACGCTCACTCTGTTAATAGGAATCTACGATTCGAAGTTATTCTAGAAGCACCTACAGCAGCGGCCCAGCGCGTTGACGAAACACCGATAACTTATCTCAACAAAGGTACATTTCCAACTTTGCTGTTGCTTTCAACTTTCCCTCCCGATTGCATGCTGACTTGAGGAATCTTATCTTGCATCAGGTCAATACTATGGTATCTTGTTGCAAGATCAGGAAAAGACTGATGCCGAGTTTACGACAATTATCAGAATAACGTTCCACGATGAAGCTCATCGCAAGGTAGCGTCATCATATTGGTCCTTTTGGCTGAGCCAGCAAGCTTCCACCAAAACTGCTCGGGCTATGGATATTGGTATGTACATGCAGATTTACCATCTATTTATTTGATTGTCTTGCTGCATTTTCCAACAACACTAAATAATTCCTACAATCCTGCGATTTGCTGTTTAATAGACAAGGCTGCATCTGCGGGCATAAAAAATGTCGAGACAAAGTCCTTTGATCGTGTACAATTCCAGTGGAACGGTAAAAAAAGCCCAAAGATACTGATGAAATTCAACTGCCTGTCGACAGACTTTTCGCGTATAAAGGGTGTCAAAGGCATTCCGCTTAGAGTGCATATTGAAACCAAGAGCGAAAGCGAACAATCGCTTGAGAAATCGTTTGCCAAGATTAAGCTCTTTAGGGACAAGGGAGCGGAACGTAAGAATAAGGATGACCAGAAACACCTGGACAAAATGTGTGATAAAATGAGAGGTACTTTATGGAACGCTTGATACTCGTTGATCTTGTGTTTTCTTGCATAATTTTAAATTCTTACCGTTCGTTCTTTCAAAGGCAAAACACAAGAAGCGACACCAATGATAATGATGTATGCACAACCTAACAATGTGACAGTGTTTCATGAAATTACGAGCAATTCAGAAGCAGCGGATGATGGCGATTTGCTAAATCTAGCAGAGCATATTAACAGCTTGGAATCTGACGTTGATGGCGGAGAATTGGTGACCTTACATTTGGGCAAGCGACGACGGATCTCGGTTGGAACAGACAATTTCATGGAAGCTTTAGATTGTGATCCAACATACATTCCTGTACGGAAGAAACGTGCTGGTAAGTTTGCGCGAAGTGCTGTTGTAATTGATTAATTGTTGCACACTTTAACAAATAATCTTTTATCTAGTCCTTTGCATCTATGCCAAGTTTCCCAATGAAACAGTCTACCGTGCAATCTATCTCAATCAATTGACGGCTTCCGACCTCATTGCCAAAGTTGTCGACAAGCTCGATTTACAAGGTCAAACCATTACAAGCGTTCATCGTCACACTAAACGTGGGATTACTGTGCGAGTTGACGATGAATTGATTCATCAGATCGATGATGAACAAGACATGGAAATTGACTATACTGTCGAGCAGGATGGTGTGCTGTTATCGCTGAAATTTTAAGGATCCATAATATGATTACGAAAGATGGCATAAGATTACTGGAAAGTGTGGTGATAAACATATTGACAAGATTCACAAGTTTGTTTCTCTTTTTCTTTTATTACGATGTTTTGTATTTAGTCTGGGTGGTTTCTTTCCTTTTGTTATCTTTCTACTTGTAGTTTTACAAAATTTTATCGGTGTATTATTTTATATATTACCATTCTTGTTCCTTTTCCTTTTTCTTTTCCCTCAAAAGTATATATAACAATAGCAGGGACGTGTTTTCATTTACAGCAATTAGGTTTTTATATATATAGTAATTTTGTATAAAGATTTTTTCATTTACCATTTGTTTTATACGTCTCAATTTTCTTCTTTTCATCCTTTTTTTTTTCCCTTTGACGTGTTTTACTTTTACTATCATTTGGCTTCTAGCATTTTTGTTTGTTCACCTGTCTGAATTTGTAAAACAAACCATCCATCTTATTGTTCAATTCTTGCCTCCCTCTTTGTAGCAAGTACTCGCATACGTTGGGTTGAATATTAGGAATTGTCTCTATGGTTATATTGTAAACCTTTCTGTATCTATTATAGTGTATTTATGTATATTTAGCTACCAGGATTCCTTACAATTAGAATTTTTTGGGGAGTGTTATTGAATTAAAATTAGGATTTACTAGTTACAGGGAATCTATATAAATATGGGGTTATTATAAATTTAAAACAAATTGTAGTTATATTATTCCATTAAAAAATTCAAATCTTTGAGCATTTGTATATCTAGACAATTGCAACTTCGCCATTGGATTACGGTTAGCTGAGATTGAGACATTCGTAATTAATACGTCCAATTAGCCCAAGGTGTTTCCATCCTTGAAAATCTTGATAGTTTATGAAGAGTTCATTGCTACAATGATCCTTATTTACTGTTTGCGCTGTGAGTGGTAGGCTAGGGGTCCAGCGCCAAGTCTTGGTGTGCGACGTGAAAGCTGATGGGCGCAATGCAAGCCTGCGACTCGAGGGCTGAGAGTTTGAGTAAGCAAATGATGCGTTCGCATAGGATATGCAGTGAACATTTGATCACATGGCTAATGTAGCAGAGAAACTATTAATACTAATTGACTAACATTCAATCGATAAGATGATTCATACGTTTTATCAGCGATCAGATTAGAAAAACTGAACTTTAAACAAGAATCGCGTTTCGAATTGGGATCGTGAATTTACGCGTGTGCAGCATGTAAAGCATGAAATTTAATATTCTAATAAATCATCCATACTTACCACTAACAAGTTTACTTTTAGACTGTCGATGAGCGTTAATATATTCACACAATGGCATAGTAACAGAAACGAGTCTTTTATTGTATATGTCAATAATATATGATAAAGTAGCTATGCTTGCTCTATCATCGGCGTCAGTTTTTTACTCGTTAGCTTCAAATGGGTATTTACATTGACCAAAATTTTGAAGACGTAATTCTAGTCGCTTAAGCTAAGTCACCTGACACACAGCGCTAAAATGAGAAACCAAAATTTCTTGATTCAAATCGGGCTTTTTTATGGCCCGTGACCAATTATAGTATTTCTCAAAATAAAAACTGCCGTGGGCTCTCAAAAAACAGCGTTGCTTCACTGAGACTGAAAGGACCACGATGAATTTTACAATTTCCGCACTTTCTCAAGAATTTTGGTAGTCGGGCGCAAAATGTACATTGTATTAGAGCAATGTTAAGACATGTATACTTAATAAGGGTTATTCACGATTTTGTTCCTAGAAATAATCGTAAGAGCAGAATGTTAATTCTATAGATATCACTGGTGAAATAACGTACTTCACGGATGTGTGTGATGCTGACCTATACTGATCGATATTGTCTACAGTCAAGATAATAAGCTCTCGCTTTGTCAGAGGTCTTTTAGTCAACGGACAAATATTCTTCGTCGGCTCGGACGAAAGGCATCGAACCCAGCTGTCGTAACTGTACACATTTCAGTTCGAAATAAGCCGGTCAACCAACCAAATCCTGCATAGCATAATATCAAACTAATCACTGTAGCAAACCTCATCACATGTCCGTAAGGCGACATTGCTGGCTTGACCACTTCATCCAAAGTGATCGGATCTGTAAATCCTGGCAAAGGATTCTCGTTCCTTTGCTGCATATACGGATCCATTTCCTCTCCACTCTCCTCTTTACTAGAAGATGCTCTTGTCTTGGTCCTCTTAGAAGTGTTCCACGACTTCAAAGTGTAACTACCCGAATCATCACAATCAAAGTCTTCATCCTCATCATCGTCACTAGTCAGCCGAGTTCTTCTACGCTTTCGCCGAACAAGCACTGACCTCGAACCCGAACTAGAGCTCGACAACCCACCACTTGCGCGTGCATTCCTACTTCCATGTTTCACATGAGTTCGAAAAGTTTTCTCTGTCACACCAGTTTGTTTGTTTTTGGTGCTAAACAGATAGTGAGCTTTGCCTTTTGGATCAAGCACGTAATTAGGATCGGTGATACGTCCGGTTTCGATAAGTAGACGGTAGAAATTTGAGCACTAGAAAAGTATCGACATGAGATACAAGTTGGATAAACTAACAGTGAGATATTAGAACGAGATTTACTTGGTATCCGACGCGTCCTGGTATGGCCATCGAGAAGAGACCCCATTGCCCATCTGCTCCCACTTCTTCAAGTCTCTGAAAAAAGAGCTTCTCTTCCTCCTGCATTGGTAATGAGAATTGTATTTAACGTTCGCGCAAAATGAGCCAAATCATATGCTTGTTGATCTGTAGGAAATTACCTCTGTCCATGGCCCTTTCTTTTGCTCTTCCCCTGGTGCATTGAATCGATAATAGTAAGTATTTGGTTTCGTTTCAATTGCTTTGTATGCTTTAATGCGAGCTTCGGACCATCCCTCAAAAGCCTTTTCCAGATCTTTGTTATTATCCTGCACTTGTTTCAGAGCTTCGTCGAGTGTGAGACGGCCTTTCATGCGGTGATATTGGCTTAAACGTAATGTCAGATCAAGATTTCCACGAGTTATGGAGATACAATATCTAAACATACTTTTTACTTGATAAACCAGAAGTCTTTCTAAGAGTTTCTTTACGCTTCTTTAACAGCTGTTCGTACGCTTCCTTTTGTTCTTCACTCATTTGTTTGGCTGATCACATGGATACAAGCATTTGCTCTGATTATTCGAATCGCGTTATCACTCACCCAACCACACCCTCCTCCCACACATCTCTTGTGTCTTTGGCGATTTGCTTACAAGACATCTTTCCTTGCTTTTCCGATAGTTTCTTTCGGAGCTGATGTAAATATCCATTTTGTGTCATTCGAACGATGACTTCTTCCTGTAAATGATATGAATTGATTCATCTATATGACGGATACGATACTCAACGCGTAAATCATTGCAAGCAAACCTCGTCGTTCTCACAATCCGACAGTGCAGCTTTAATTTCATCGTCAATTAAAAACTCGAATATATCGCGAATTTTTTTGGCTTTGCGTTCATACTCGCGTTTTTCAAATTCCGCATACTATAAACTATTATTATCAGTTATACACTCTACTACAAGATTTACTGCGTATATCTTTGATAATCATACACACGTGACGCTGTTGAAGAGCAACCCGTTTATCAATGATATCTTGCTCGGACTCTGTAACCTCAGAACTGAACAGGTTCTCTTTCCGAACTGTTGCAATGCTTTCACTACATTGAATTGAAAGATGTCTATTATACTGATGGAAAACATGAAAGATTCTTCATTAGAGTCCTCTTATACCTTTCCAGCAGAATTTTCGGGTTTATACTCTGTGTTTCTTCCTCTTCGGCCTTTAGTTGTTTAGCTTCGAAATTGGCCCTGAGAGTTTTCTGTTAACGAACAAACATAGTACTCGGTGCGACTAGTCAATAATTGCTGCAACATTAATGTGAAGGTCACTACAAACCGCTATATTAGTAACTGTTACGCATTGTGGAGGGTTTATTGTCTTCCAGTCAACCCTTTTGGTAGTTACAACGGAATTGACTTCGTCTCCTATGCCAGAGGGGCTGGTGTTAAAATAATAACAACTCAAAATTCTAATAATCGATTAACTTTGTTTTCTATCTCATGTAAGCATGCTTGCCTTCGCGGAAAAATGCTTTGTTTTTTTTTTCTTCTTTTACTTTCGAGTTTCTTGTCGACATGTTATAGCCTCGTGTCATTCGTCTGTACAGACCGTTATCGAAGCCGAGGCAAGGACTCTTTAATATCAAGGACGAGGACAGAGCTAAGAAGTGAGGAACTATAACATTGTTTACAGGGTGGAAAGTTGTATTCGTTGGGATAACCCCCGTCGCGTTTTCTGAATAAGGTAAATTTCGCGGCGATCTTCAAACACGACGCGTGAGGGGCGGCCTCTGAATGTTCGTTTAGCTTCCATTAATATTAATATTAATATTGGATAAAACACGTTCTCTCCCTTGTAACTAAAAAGCGTCAACGATAGCCATTTCGAATCATGGGATCTCAATCTGATCTTGATTTTCCCGAGTTACCTGAAGAAAGTGAATTTGGACTCGAACTGGAAGCACGGGAAGTACCAGAACCAGGAATAGATTCCTTCTTAGTGCACACACAAGGCTACACAGTGGTTAGTTATAACGAAGACGGCAAGTATGTATGGGAAAGATGCGTAATAACTTTGATTATTATTATTTCTAATATTTGATTTCTTCTTAGTTTCTTGCTTACAGCTGGAGCAGATGGAGCAATTCGATTCTTTCTTGTCTTGGCTAACGGAAACATAGATGATAGACCCATTAACATTCTTCATCATACTAAAGGCGTTCGCTGCATTGGAATAAGTGTGATTATCATTCCGATTCGTTTTACGTAACTTAATTTGATACATTGAATTATGATATTTATGTTTATTCCATATATTTGTGATCATGTTTTAACATCAGAATGGAAAGCTTGTTACTGCATCGGAAGACAAGACCGTCGCACTGTTTAATCTGACAACCAAGAAATTTGAATCATTACTATATCGTTGTACATTGCCTGCAAGATATGTTTCGTTTGATACGGATGGTTTACGAGTAGCCGTGGCTTCAGAGTAAATATGCAATGAAGTTTTTGTGGTTGACTTGTTAACATTCAATGCATATGTATTAACATTCTCTATTAGCGATTCGACCATCCAAATAGTTAACACAGTAAACATTAGTGATGTGGTTGTAGTCAAAGGGCACACCAATTCTGTAAGATGTGTTGAGTTTGATCCAGCTGGAGAATTCTTGGTGAGTGACTACTACCATTCCGATCGATATTGCCAGTGCCCAAATGTATACTGACCTGAAAAGTCACTGATGGTTATGTGAATGTAGGTCTCTTCTAGTTGTGACGGGACTATTCGAGTATGGGACATGCGATACGGTGAGCCTCGTTTTATTAAGCACTTTTTGGGCATAATTCCGCACACAGATCCAGGGTAAGTCTGTCTTATGAATAACTACAGTGCGTGAATCAATCAAATGTTATGCTAAGCAGTTTTACTCTGGATATAGGGACCCACAGACATGTCAGATAGCGTGGCATCCGTCAGGAAAATGCTTTGCCGTTCCAGGAGATGATAAAGGTATGTTGAGGTCGATTTGCATAAATATTTGATCATGCTAATATTTGCTCTGTTTAGACGTCATAATTGTCAATAAGAATAGTTGGAAATACAACATAATGTTTAAAGATCAACATAAACAGGTATATTACTTAAGTACTCGCATTTTTGACTTGTACATGCTCACTGGGAATGTCGTTTTTCAGAATATATGCGTCCTTCAATGGTCACCGAATGGTCGATATTTGGCCACAGCGGGTTTGGATTGTTACATAATGGTCTGGAATTTAATAAAGAGAAAGTCTTCATGGAAGTAAGTGAACGCTTACCAGTTGGCAGAATATATATGAAATGTACTTATTCAATCCAATATTTTAGAATACGACATAAAGCGCATGTCACTAGTCTATCATGGCATCCGGATGGCAAGAAAATAGCATACGTAAGAACAATTCCATCATGCTTATTGCCATACCACGTTATCAGATATGCTACTATCGCTTATCATCACTACAGGTGGATGTGCAAGGAACCTTATATTTCTGGGAGCCATTTGATTTTGACGATATTGAAGACGAAGGAAGTGTCGCAATGGAGGAAGATGATGTTGTACTGGACCGTATATTCAACATCAGCATTGATGATGCAGAGCGCGAAGACGAGGACAAAAATGGTAGCGGCTTTAATCATTACATATTTCGTTGTCGTACGTACTACTAATTGATACATATACAACAGCTCCACGTAGAAGCAATAGGCTCAAGTATGATTACAAAGATGATTACTTTGATCTAGACGATTTTGTTGAGGATGACGATGGTGCAGGATATGTGCCTAAAAAGCCCGCCTATGCAATGGATAGGAAATCTAATGGTATGTCGTTCTTATTGTACTATCGACCATATGGTGGGACGTGGCTTGTGGCTAAATTAAAAATATGTGCTATCTACAGTCGACATCAGTACACCCCAGAAACCATTTCAGCCAGGATCAACGCCGGAGAAGGAAAAATCACGCTATCTTGGTCAGATATATATAACAAATTTGTTAAATTATTACCGTAACATAGGCCTGATTACTTATTAAATCTGCTTTGAATCTTCTTTTAGCATTCAACTTGATAGGATGTATTACAACACTCGATCAAGGAACACATTCGACAGTAAGTGTTGAATACTTGGACAAATCAATATGTCGACCGTATCATTTCACTGACTTGTACAACTTTTCCATGGGTTGCTTGGGTATGTAATGACTAATCATTAACGTATTAAGTGCAAAGAGTTCAAGTCACATTAATTACAAATGCTAATTCTTATATAGGTAGACACGGAGCAGCATTTGCGGCCGAGTCAAGTACTGGTAGTCCAAGTGTGATCTCGTTCCAACCAGAAACACGGAATTCACGAGGCGAATGGACATTAGAGCTTCCATCAGGAGAATGCGTGATGGGTAATTATGACTGCATTTATATCACAACGGCCAATTATGAATGCATTTATATCACAACGGCCTGGATTACTAAGCGAACATACTGTTACGACATTAGCTTTGGCCTTGAGTGGCAAAGGTCCGATTGCGGCTACATCGAAGAACTATATACGATTTTTTTCAAGCGGAGGTGTTCAGACAAAAGTCTTTTCTCTACCATCTATCGTATGTATGACGGCCATTGATGAGTTTGCCATGTTTATTTACCACATAGGCCCAGGACTGAAAGGTATAGTACGCATTCAACTATTTTATCTGTAGGTTTTGCTAACTTACATTAACATTTATGTTGCTAGGATCACAAAACCTTGGCTATATATTGTATAATGTTGAATCGCATGATTTTATTCAAGACGGCCACTTGCCATTATCAACTGGAGCAATTTTGAATTGGGCGGGCTTTTCACAGGACGGAGTAAGCAGCGTAATCTTATGTCCTATTGCTAGATCGATGGGAAAATAACTTATTACCTTGAAAACTTTTAATATTTTATTTGTCACCATTGAGTTACCGGCCATTTACGATTCAAAGGGAGTTCTAAGCATTCTTCATCGTCATCGTGAGCCTCGTCAAGCACGCTGGATGCCAATATTGGATACATCTACAATACCAAAAGAAGAGGGAAAAACAGTAACGTATTGGCCAGTCGGAATACTTGACATGGAATTAATGTGTGTAAAATGCAAGGTATGTTAGACCGATTGCTTTACTTAGGTCAGAACATAGCGTCTTCCCGATTCTTACATTTAAAAACTGTCAACAATAGGATGGACAGGAGCATCCTTCGCTCCCAAGACCACCGATAGATGAAATTAGCTTCCAGATACCATTGCTACAAATCGACAAACCTACCGGTCAATTTGAAGAGAAGTAAGTGGCTTACATCCTGTATAAACCACCTAACATTGTTGACTTTATTTATATGATTTCATATCGCAGGTACATGCGCATGAATATTTTGATAGACTACGAACAGCAGGAAGCAGAGGCTAGAAATGAGCACCGACGAAGACAGCTCGAGTTCCGTAAGAAGTACACCGAGATCGATAAAATTTTACTACAGCTTATTCAAGTATGTGTATACTTAAATAACATCCGAAAAAGTCACCCAGATGTTCTAAGATACTGTCATTCTCAATTCTCCCAGATGGCATGCAAAGCGGAAAAGACAGAGCGCGCCTATGATTTAGCGACATTATTAAACTCGCCAGCAACTGTAGAGGCTGCTATAAAGATTGCTCAGCATAATAACTATGCGAAACTGGCTGAGAGAATAAATGCATTGAATAAGGTCATTATTTTAATTCAATACAACTTCGGCCATAGTAAAAGCATTGTATACATATTTTATTCTGCGTTGATTAAAACAGGCATATCGCGAAGAGGAAAGCAGACAACCTCCCATAAAAATCGCATTACAGCAGCGTATACCATTACAGCCGCAACTGCAACAACCAGAAGCGCAAGTAACGACTAATACGTCCCTCCCTGTACAGAATAGACCACAAACGTCGCCTCAGCAAAAGTAAATGAGCATAATTTATTAAGATTCTTTATTCAAGGTATTACATTTATTAATCCAATTTCGCACAGATCAACAGAAGGTGATGTTGATATCATTATGGGGGATGAAGCAACAGCGACACGGCATAGCGATGCATCTGACAACACTCTAAAGCGACATGTTGAAGAGATGGATGTGAATGAGGAAAATAACCACACAGAGGAAGCACCAATATTCAAGAAAGCTAATTTAACGCAGAAGGCGGACCTTTCGCATAGAAGTAAGTGCATGATAAGACGCGTATTTGGATAACACAATGAACTTATATCTATATTTCTCTTAGAAAATCCATTTCTGAAGAAGCCAAGTGGACAGAAAAAGACACCCGGACTGCTTAAGACATTGGATGACAAATTGTAATAGAAAGTTTATAATATCGATACCAACTTTTATCTGTAATAAAATTATCCACACAATCCAAGTCTATATAACAATTCGACTCATTAAGTTGCCGATAGTTATAATCCTCGGCAATACTCTAACCGTTCAAATTTCGATTAATGATGACAAAGCATACGTGCGTCCTGATGCGTGCCAATTAATACTAACAAGAGAGTGCATACTACATCAGAATGAAATTAATAATACAAAGATAGTCTAATATTTGTAAAGTATTAGGCGATAATATAAATAACATGTCCTATAATTCTTTTACTACAATCAGTTTCTAGTCTTATTCTTCTTCCTCTTCCTCCTCCTCATCTTCCTCATCCTCATCCTCATCCTCATCCCCCTCATCGTCCGTAACAGTTTGCCCAAGGTCGATTAATCTTGTCCGGTATTTACTAATACTCTCCTCTTGCTCAGCAAGGCAAATAAGTAGATCCTCTTGTTCTTTGTTCAACTGCGCATGCTTGTTCTCCAACGCAATGTATTTTGACTCCAATATGGCATATTTCTCATCGTTTGATTCAAGCGTTTGTTGTGCAGTTGATGCAGAGCTATTGTTAACAGAATTCTAATGACAACGAAGACAGCATAAAACAAGCGGACAAATATGTAGTTAGTTCCTTGCACAAACGATTATAATGGTCAAAAGCTATATGGTCATACCTTAGATTCAAGCTCCAGCTGTCTGATTTTCTCTTTTAGTTCATTAATCTGGGCTTCCTGTGTTTGGATTACGCCTTTTAGAGTAGTTATAGCAGATAAGGAAAACGAGTCGTTATCGTTGCCATTGGTGTCGGTACTATGACGAGGTGATCGTGTTGCTTTCGGATCGACTCGAATGGAGCGTTGAATGATCTCTAAAAGAGGATGCATGAATTGTGAGATTGGCATGAGCAGTAGAGAAGGTAAATGAGCCCGTTAAAGCAATTCACTTACCGTAATTCTCCTTAAAGAATTCTACGAATTGGTAATCAAAGTACAGGTCTGGCAAAACTTTGAGCTCATTAGGTGTGATCTAGATTATGTGAATTGAACGATTCAGTAATTGTAATCATTTCTGTACCATCAGTCAATACCGCAAAAGTAAATTTACTTACAAAAAGGTACTGTGATGCATGTTTAAAATGTGGTGCTTCGCGCAGCCGTGTGATACGATTAACAAATAAATCGATTCCAATACGGTTGATTAAAATAGGATAAAGTGTTGACCTGTTAAACAAAATAATTTCAACTTGTAATCGTTTATATATAATAGAGCGCATACAGACCGTCAACTTAGATCCCTGATATCAGTGTGGCTTTGCTTATTGCTTACCTCGAGACATTAAAGCCCTCCATTTCGTTATTGAACTCATAACATACTCCCAACAAAAATGCACAAAGACCCTGGACACGTGGATCTACACCAGATGACTGAGTGACTAGAGTAATCAACTAAGCGGACATCACAGTTAAGGCAAATATTTGGACATGAATAAATATACTTCTACCACGAATTACGTGTTCAATCGTTTCAACAAATTTTCCCGATCCACGTCAAAAATGTTGACATATGGCTCAGGCAAATTCGTCGATTCAATTACCCTTTATCCGATGCTAAAAAGGATACCATCTGAAAATGTGATTCCTCAGCCAGGAAATCACCAACACTCTTCGGGCTATCCCATAGCCATACGCATAACAAACACAAATATCCAATCAGGACTCTCACATCAGCATTATTCTTGTTAGCCATATTCAAATTCTTTACAATAAGTTGCAACAATGGTGCCCCCTCGTCGGTTGAATCGGCATCGGCAGTGTAAATACCACGCACTATGCCTTTTGATCGTTCATTGTCCAAGAGAATGTGTGAGAATATCACCGAGGCAAACCAAACAACGTATGGATCTGCAGCAGAATCCTCCCATTCAAGAAGGGCAGCTAGAAGCAGCGTTCCGGCTGATTGCGCTCCTGCTATTAATAATTAGAAGAAGGTCAGCATATGGGAAATTAAACTTGAGTTAGCACATGTAAGCTTAGACTTGCGTATAACCTGTTATTGGATCAGAGTTATTTGCATCGTCAGATTGAGGTGCTATAGAAGATGCAAGCAACACTTGCGCTTCCACATTTCTCATTATATATGCCTACAAAAATAATAACGGCATCACAACTAAATTATCAAAGGTCACTAATGTGAACCCACCCCCAATCGAATCTAACCTCGAACGCATACGTCGCAGCGGCTCTAGTCCCATAACTCTCGGGTTCGGCTCCGACGGCAACAGCGATCAGGCCCATTATAGCTGAGCGAGGAGGCATTGCTTGCGCTAGTTCTTGGAACGATAAATGTGCGCTGCTTTGTGATGTCGTTCGAGAATGTGAAGTTGATGATTCATTTGATCTGTAAGTCGGAAGGGGTACGGCTACACGCGCTCTCGCCAACACTTCTTGATTTGTTTGATTTGCGCGTACAAGATCGCCTAAAGCGTAGAATGCCTAAAGAGGTAGTAGAAAAAAGCACGCAGGATAAAAGACAAATGCAAGGTCAAACAATAAATATAATACTCGGGAAATAGTTAAACAAAGAGAATTGTAAAAGCAATATCACGTACTTGCGTTTTCACTGGCGAGGGGGCGTTGGAGGCCAATGCAAGTTCAATAACAGGTTTTAACATCCCGCATTGGTTCATTACACGCTGTAAGGAATACAAAAACCTTTAGATTATAACATATGTATATGTACTGTTATGCTGTGCTTCTTGACCGCATATGCGTCAGTCACACCCTATAGCTTCTAATCCTGCCCACGCGGTCGTAATATGTGCTTACTTGATTGGTTGTCGTATTGGTGTTATTTTGGGCAACGAGTATTCTAACGAGCTCCAATAACACGAGAATGTTGTTCGTTCCTTGATCATGCCAATCCGAGAAGTGATAGTTGATAATATTGTCTTCTGATGTAGATGGATATCCTAGTAATCCAGATATCCTCTGTATGCAGCTTGTTTCTCTAAAGTAATTCTTTAAATTGTAAAACGTCATGTTAACTAAAAATATGATAGTATTCAATCATGCATAAATATAGAAACGCCTATCTGATTGATAGTCGAATTACACCCATTTAATTGACTGAATGCAACTATCCTAACCTGATTGGAGACATTATACCGCAGCAAGTTCAGCGTCAGTTGTAAGCAATCCTGAACTATGATTCCTCCATTCAAACCACCTTCCGCAGTAATAATCTCCAACAATCTATCAAATGCATTTTCGAACGCGACAATCTTTTGAATATCAGCGTTGGTCTCTGTCAATGAGATCAAAAGTAATAGACCCTCTATACCCGCAACAAAGCGTATGAATGTTAATTGTTTGTTTACTATTCAGCAACAATGCAGTGAAAACAAGAGTTATTGTCACACTAACCGTTTCGTATAACCTCTTGTTGGTCATCGAATAAATCCATTAGTTTAGATATTCCCATAGGTGCCGTCAATATACAATCCTGTACTCTATCTGGCCTTGTTGTCAGTAGAGTAGCGAGCAATTGAATATCGTGAAACCTAACATAAAAGTCGACTTCTTGGAGCAGATCAAGGAATAAATGTATATGCGATTCATCCTATCAATAAAAGAACGAATCCCCGAGTCAGTAAATTACAAAGGTAGATTTATAATAAAGATAAAAGTTGTAATAATGATAGTTTAATACAGTTACGACTACGCCAAGACCAATTCTGACATATACTTACTTGTAAAACTTCATCAGTGAATCGTAGTCCAAGATCTCTTCCTACTTCCTATAGATCAATTATGATTCGTTCTCTTTATTTATTGAGATAACAATAAATGGACATATTCCTAGCAAATTGCATTCCAATCTGTCCAACTAACCTGCGCTCTATCTGGTGTACATAATATATTCAGGATCTCGAGAATAGCCTTTGCTGTATCGATGTCTGCTCTGTCCTCATTCAATATATTCAACAGCACGCCCAATCCTTTATCGCCCACTTCCTTGAAATATGAGAAAGCATCTCTATTCAGTATATATTGTAAACGCGCAATTTGAAATTAACATCAAGAATAAGTCAGACATTCTTTACCAGCTTGTACTCCCTGGACAACCCTTTGAGTCCCAGAATAGCAGCCCTTCTGTCTTCAAGAAGAGTAGAATTCGCCGCTCTATCACATAGCTTAATCACAGTATCTTCTGCCGTCTGTGGTTGACCTTTTTCTCCTAGTAAGCCCTTATATCCTCTTGTTAGAAAGTCCATTGTCAAATAATTGACAGTATACGAAGACTGACAACACAAATCCCAAATTCTTCACGTGATTGAATGACCAGTGTGGCTAAAAAATTAATAGTTGTGGCTCGTGCACTTGTGACCAGTCTTCTCAAAGCGTTCAATCGTAGTAGGTGCTACTAATAATAATAAAGGAACGCAAAACTCCAGTCTTCTCAACTTCCGAATAACCATCCTGCAACAACTATAACAAGAAAATGTTTGCAGAATCTTGTTTTCTATTCGTATCCGTTAACCATATTAATATGATTCGACATTTGATCACCTCTTATTACGATTGCACAACCATATATTTGCTTGTTAAAACAGTCTTAAAATTTTGCTTTATTATTATCAGCTTGATTTTTTTTTTACTTTTAAACAATTTGGTTGTAAAGATTGATAAAATAATAAGAATAAAAATATTATTACTCACATCTGTTCTGTCCAGAACAGATTTTTTTTTTACCCCATACCTCAAAATTAAGCCACCAATATTCCAACTACATAAAACCCAAGAGGAATTAAAGAAAACAATATACAAAAATTTACATATAATTATCACAGACTATATCTATCCATTCGACAAACCAACCAAACCGACCAAACCGACCATAATCAACCAGTAAGAATTAGATAAAGATATGTATATATATAAATAAAACTCATCTACAATGCATGAGTAATACTCTCACGCGAATCATTAAAACTAGAAAATCTTATCGTCGGTGAATCTAATCCCTTTTGCACCTCGTATCCACCGCTCTCTGTCCTCACTTGCTTCTTCCCACTAGTCGCTGACATTCTCCTCGACCTAAACGCCACCATTTCAACATCATCCACTTTGGAAGTTCGTCGAGGCACTAGAGGCGAATGGTTTGAAGGAATCGATCGCTGATACGAATGTTGTTGATTAGGAGATGTGGGAGACGTGACCGTTCTAGGAGAATACGGTGTAGCCGATCGTGGAGATCGTGGAGATCCTGGCGATCTGGCGGAAGCCTCGTATACCGAGCTTTGCGTGTCTGCATATGCTTTCGGCACACTCGGCCTGTTAGAATCCCATTTTGTCCATCTTTTAGATGCTCCGTGTTTATAATCCATTGTAAAATTTGTAGGCGATGTCGGCATCATGTCGCTTGTTGGTGATAACGGAGTAGTCGGTGATTGTAACACGGGCGACGAATTCAGTAGAAACAGACTGGGTGAACTCCCACTTCGCATCAAACTCGCCCTTCTCGCTCGCTTTCCCATGCCGTCATGAAAATCTCCCGTTACTGCATCGCTCTCCGCTCGTCTGTGGTTGACGGGCATTCCGGCTCCACTTCCGACGTAAGTTATGTGAGGAGACGGGTATTGTTGTTGTTGTTGTTGCGTCAGGAGAGTAGAGGATCGAAGAGAGTTTGAATAAGAAGTCCATTTGAGATCGCTTTCTGACAGAGATGGGGTTAATTTACGGGTGGGCGACAAAGGATAGGCCTCCTGCTGCGGTTGTTCTTGCGTTAGTGGCTGCCTTTTGTGGACATCTCTAATAACGTATGCATGAGGTTCTCCACTCTCTGCCTCGTCCACATTCATCTGGTTCATCCTCCCAACATTATCAGAACTGTTATTTCTCGATGTTGGTAGCGACGGATATTTCAACCCTTCCAACATTTTGACAGATGGTCCTTGTCTCACAGGTGTCGGTGAATATAGTGATAATCGTGGTGACGTAGCAGACTTTGGTGAGAGAGTTGGGGTTGGAGAGAACGGTGGCGGTGTTGGTATCAAAGTTGATTGTGACTGGGATGGCGTATCGTCGACTGAATAAGATCGTGGTGGACGTGAGAGAAGCGGAGGTGGAGGAAAGATACCGCTATTGTCTTCCGACATTTCAATAACGTAACTCGATTGTTGGGATGATTCTGGAGTATTTGGTAGTTTGTCGTATGTATGTGTACGGGTTTGTGGTTTTGCGGATGCTTGTGTGTGTATTTCGTTTGCGGCTGATCTGTTGGACAGGGTGCTTTTTATAGTAGCTGAATCGCTAGCTGAACTTCCCGACGGATAAAATATTAAAATTAACGTCAAGAATACTATCCACATGGCAATGCTGACATGAGTCATTAACAGATCCGCCGCGAATTTTCTCTTGTTTAGCCACTGGGTCGTTGTCAATCCATCAACACACAATAGCACTAATGAGACTGATCCAATTACCAATCCCATTGACAAATACAAGTTCATGTCTCTGAAATATTCCAACTTTGCCACTACGTTCGGTCGAGTTGTTTGTCCTGTTTTACGGAGAAGCGTAGCAAATCGCTTATTCGAGCGGACCCCTAAGAGAGCTATTATAAACATGAATACACCATAAGCTAGCTGAGGGGCGATATCGGAATTCAATTCATTATGACGAAAGGTGAATTTTAGTGTTGGAAAGACAGCCGCGCTGAATACAGAGAATATGATATAGGATTTGAATTCTGCATGGGAAAATGGCAATGTGAGTTGTTTGAAGATAATAAATATAGCATTGAACCGAGTTGTTAAACGAATGACTCACCGAAGCTCCCCATGAAAGACGCTTTTGCTACATTGTTCGCAAGGTAATTCCAAAATGATTGTAAAAGGAATAAAAGTCCACTGTACAAGAATCAACGAGAACGTCAACATAAAAACAATTAGATAATGTCACTTTCTTCAAATAATTTCCAGTCAAATAAACCGTTTAATACTCACACTTGGACACTGAAACTCATACAAAGCACGTAGTCTGAAGGTACTGACAGGTTTTTGTGAGCTGGTGTCCAGAGAACGTACGGCTTTGTTATTACTTGTCCGTTAGGAAAGGTTATGAAGCCCTCTTGGTATTTTATGAGTGTTCCGATTATATCGGAGAAAACTTGCAGTGGGGCCATTATTAACAGAAGAATGGTTATGGCGGTTTTCTAACATCATGATTAAAGCGAGATACGTTAGGAATGGGGGGTAGTGCATACTTGTAAAATTATTGCATCAGGTGACATCAAAAAAATCAGCGGGCACTGATTTTTAATATACACACACTCACCAGTTCATACTTCTTTATACGATGCCAACGTAATGCTTGGAAGCGGTCGACTCTCCAGGCATGTTGAAGAAACCAAAAATAGGTCCATACTATCAAGACTGCCCGCGCTGTTAGAATGGAAGGGAAGGGTGTTGTTAGAACTATAACTATACATTTATGCTTAGTCAATTCATCTTGGCTGAGACTGTCGCCCACAATACTTACTCAAAAAGGTTACATCGCTAGGGGAGTGAGGCATTTTGTTGTGGTGGGTTTATTAAAAAACGGTGGAAGATAAACTGGAATGGGGGGTGTTAAATAATCGTTGGAGTGATCGTTGTCTTCTTGGCACTCTTGTTGACGTTCACCAGAGTGTTGCAGTATATTTATCGTATTAGAATGAATGTCGGTAGCGAAGAATGTGCGGTAATGATAAAGGTTAATCTTAAGTGTATTTGAATATTTACAAACGTTGATAGTGTATTGTTGATAGTGTATAGTAATAGTTGATAGTGGATAGTTGATAGTGTATAGTTGATAGTGGATAGAATAAATTACAACACAGCGACAAGCGCAATGTTTTTTCTAATGTATGGTTTGGTGAGCATTCTAAGCCCAGCCGGGGGAAATGAGAGAGGAGGCGGGAGAGGGAGGATGAGGATGGCGAAAATAACTGCTTGGGAGATGTCTTCATTGCTATATTTATAAAGGCTGGCAGATGAACCGTATCAAATAATAAATTAAATACTGATATTGTATTCTACAAATGTACAATAAATATGCGCTTTGAGAAACTGAGATGATCATTTAGGTAATAATGCAATATGGCTATTATTCATCAAGCCTTAAGCCATAATGTCCGTATTGTAATGTATTTACTTTCGTTGTTATTGTTACACATTCGTAATCCAATCATTTTGCAAAGCAAAAAAATGGAAAAGAAATATACCGTAGACTAAGGCTTTTACTTTACTTTGTCTATATATCTATATATATACCTTGTGTCACGTATACCGTAATACCGCACTATCAACATAACAATGACAATGGATAACTACATGTGGAGAACTCTTGCCGCAGCCCATATTAGGTTAGTGTATCCCAAGATGGATATCAAAGGGTTGTTATGTATCACCACCGACAAGTGCGGCCGACGATAAGAAACAGTAGGGGAAGAAAGTCTGTTGGCGGAATGGGGAGGCATAGGGGAGCAAAGAAAGGAAGAGCGAAGAGTGTCAAATATGTCCTTCGTTACTCTCGACCAGATTTTGTTTTACCCAAAAGGATGACACCATTGAAGACAATAGACTTCCTGTTGTTATTTGCACATAAATAGAGCGCTGTAACGTAACAACTTCACAGTGCTACTTACCAATATAGTAAATACATAGGAATGACGCATACGATTATAAATAAATGCAGAAATTCTGTCCTAAGAGATGTTACCCGTGTGCCACTACTGACATCTTTGCTGTTACAGTGCTGAGTCAACCTTGGCATTAGTATTAGGTGACGATGAAACAAATTCGGCCATTCTAAATAAATAATCGTCATGGTGACACCAATCACACAATATCATAATCCTCACATTCAGTTACTGTTGATTAAAATTTAACATCAAGACAATAAACAATGGCCGCAGTCTTCTTGTTCAGATACCCTGGAAAACGTGGACAATATCGGTTTATTAGCTGATTATAGTTCCCTGTATAATAAACAATCGTAAGTCTCGGATAGAGATTATTTGCACAACTCAATTGTCATTTCTTATATTGTATTAGGCAACTTTAAGCAACGTTTGGTGGTTTGGGTAATGACAATAGACGGAATAAGCAATTGATACAAATGGCAATGACCAAATTTAACGGGTCTTACTTCCTACTACTACTACTCCTCCTACTACTCCTGACCCACTACCCTGAATCGTCATACGCAGGGAACTTACGCACGCATATCTCGGATTTCACCCGTTGCCCTGGAGCCTTGTTCAACACCCCCAACAACATATCTTTGCAGATGATGACGATGAAGCCATCTGCCGTAATATCGTACGGCCCGATCATGTACATTATTAAGCGTATCACATATTTCGTATACCCCCAAGCAAGTAATTATTGTACAACATTTTGCAAACTCGTTCGCGCTTCACTACACTGCTGTTTTAATCCGTTATCTTTTCCTTGTTCCAGTATTTGGAGTACACGTTTCGATGCACTACAATCAGAAACCAGCAATCTCACTCAGAAAACACATCGCCATTCTCCGGACTTTGCCGTCAACAAATTCCTTATAAAATCAACAAACCAATAATAATAGACGCAAAGCCCCGTCTCATTTAATAGATAAGTAGACACGACAATCGTTATGTTACTTGTTCATAACAATATTATTATAATTAACTATCATAGCCATCGGTATTACTATTAAGACTTTTTGTATCCCAAACGCTCTTATCAATTAAGTGCAGCAGCTACGTACATAGCATGCACCGCTGTTTTAATACTCGCTCGATTCTTTGGGGAAGATAAGAAAACTTTAACAAGAATGCTGTAATATGTAAACAAATGTAAACAATAATGTATAAGCTTATTTTGCGTTGCAGTGGAATCATCTGTAGTCATTCTCTATAACAGTATTGTCTTCCAAAGTGTGAAGTATTTCCGTATGCCAAAAGAACATCATCAAATTTATTGGTTGAAAGAGACAACATGCGAAAAACCGGAAGAGAAACCATTGGTGCTTTAATGGCCCAAACAAAAAACACTAATATGAACGAGTCGGGAAATAATTCTACTGTAATAAAATATACGGTATTGATGTCAAGTGCTATTGTTGATAGAACAGTTAAAAATTTTAATTAAGCATATAAGGAATACTAACATAGCGTTTTTTTAATTCAATTACTGAGCCGGTGGTTTTTCCCATTATTCCGTAGTCACAGGACCAACTGTTTTTACGTTTGTGCATGACTTTCCATTATTATTATGTCGAAGCACAGCGTTGGTGCATTGGAATTGCCTTGTCAACCAAATTCAATTATAAATCCGTATATAGTTAGTAGTGATCATACGATAATCTGCATTTACTAAACGCTTTCTTTGCAAAGACAATATCAATTATGTTTATTTATTCGAAACCAGAAATATCTCGTTATTCGTCTTTACCAAAGAACATTCTATTGTTACTATTTTTTAGAGTTTGTCCAGTTTCGGTAAGAGTTGTATATAACGACACATACGATTGTTGACACTAGTGAACAGAACGAAAACCGGCTGTATCCGTACCAAAATTTCAAGCTATCCCGAATGCGGATCACAAGTCAACCATTCATAGTATAAGTAGATAACGTATACGTTGTAGTAAACCATTAGATGTGCTTCCTGCATGTATGATTACTTTTAATAAAGACAAAGATTTGATGCTTACAAGTGAAGAAGACAAAAGAATCAAGGCCCCGGATGAATAATGCGGAATGGATCTGGGTAATGACTGAACTTGGAAATAATAATTTCTGGAGGATTTTCAAACGCCTCCCATACATGATTACTCAATATTAAATAATAGAAATAATCGTTCACATTTTAAAGAGAGTTGGTTATATAGTGAATTTTGTTTTAGTATGACTCGATAAACCCTCGTTTGGTTATGTGATTGATTCTTTCCGTTGGCTATTTTTACTTGTTGTTGAGATCTTGTTTTTATTATTTTGTACTAGCTGTGAGACTGTCATTACACCATAAGACTTGTTTCTCCTGTATTCTATTCCGTAGTTGTTCTTTATTAGTCATTGACTATTCCATACACACCAATTCGTTTCTATGTTTTTTCTGGTTTAAGACTTTTAATTAAAAAAATTTTTACAATCATACAAGTTTCACAGTTCAGAGGCCAAAGTTTCACAAGAACAAGTTGCAACATAGACAGTGTCCGTTATAATCAGGTTTCCACTGTCACTCGCTAACAATGATCGGACAACAGACAATGCAAGGTTTACGTTTCTGTATGATGTGCACAGAATGCATACGGGTTTCATGTAAAACGTGCTGTAAATTAGTCCCAGTTCGAAGATTTAAAAGAGTATATGGAGTAGAACAGGTCTTAAAGAGTTTAGTGGGTTTAAAATTCAAATCCATAAACATTTATTAGGTTATGTCCAAAACTGAAAAAAGTCGATTTATTAAGCAGCCAATGAAACGTCATACTTAATCATATTTGCCATTATGACAAATTGCTTGCAAATATTTGTAATTGCTCGCTAAAAGGATGAGTAAATCCAGGATGTCCAAAGTGAAACATGTGAGTGACGAAAAATGAGAACGGATAAGATTGGTTTTCTGAAGGATGTGTGAAAGAGAAATATTTAATTAGATTCGGTTATTACTGATCGATTACCCAGATTGACAAAATGAGGAAAAGAAATAAATAGCCAAATGTAAGTAACAGCACTGTTTACACCCAACAGTTCATCAAATTAGTTGAACGTAGAGTGTGACAAAAAATCCATAATCGTCGCCTCAACAATGTAAATATTTCAATCATGTTCACCAGTACGAAGAATGGTTTAAGACACTAAGGAAAGGGGTTGTAGCGACAATAATAATTAGCAAGCTTTGATGCCTAACTTGATGGATTCACAGCATAGCTAATTAGATGGTCCTTTCTCTGTACAATATTTCCTACTGCGGCACAAGTTGCACACTGTTGACTTGGAAGTTCAGACAGACACGAGTCATATTAATATATAAAATCTAACAAATTGTATTCAGATCCTTTTGATTACAAGCTACTTTGTACTGAAACCGTCGGTAGTTGCGATCATTGCACTGTCTTAAAATTAACTGATAGGTTGCTTGTGGTTTGTCAGAATAAATCAGAAATCATCCTGTATAGCGAATATAGTATGTCAGTAATTGTTTATTTGACTCCTGCAAGACGTTTTATTTTCATTCTTACTGCACCTTTACCAATTTGATTAACAAAAAGAACAACTATACGGGATTAGCTGGTAAGTTTGGCTCGGCTCCAATAGAATATGTATATCAAGCATTGCGAGCTGCGGCGTCACATAACATCCTAATTATTAATACATCTATGACAAGGTATATGTATTAATCTGTCGTACAAATTTGCACGCGTATTTAACAATTATAAATTAGTAACTTTGTATGAAATATTCCATTCAGTTGTTAGGGAAAACCCGGTAAGACAAATTAACAAATTTGGCTTTTATAAATATTGACATATAGCATTCTTTGTTATTTACAGAACTGTATCAGACTACGTGTGGGGACTGAAAAGTTTTGCGTGTGGCCCTCTAACTCGAGATTGCGTCAGTTTAACTAAAATTGAATAATCATAAAGTGCGCGTGCTTTAATGTAACAAATGAAAAAAAAAGTAGAGGCAAATTCATTATCTCAATTGTCGAGAAACACTTTTTTTGTAAAGAAGAAATTAAAGACAAGGCTCGTCTTGGACGTCTTCGCGAAGCCGTGACGTCAGAAAAATTGCCAGGGCCGAGGATATTGTTAGCAATAACCCGCACATTTTTATTAAAAAATCAGCCAACGAAATCGGCATTTCTGTAAAATAATTTCCTACATCTGCATAATGAGTTGAGCCTCCAGAAAAAAGGGAAGAACAACTGTTCGTGACGTCATGCTTCATTACGACAATGCCGCACCACATAAGGCAACGATCATAACGGAGTATCTTCATAACGAACAAGTGGAACTTTCCCCCCACTTGTCATACAGTCCAGACTGTGTTCCTTGTGATTTTTTCTTATTCCCTCGAATCAAAAAAGAACTGAAGGGAAAAAGATTTGATAATGTCGAAAATTTGGCAAGGGCTGCTCAGGCAGTTGCTGAAACTATCCAAAAAGCCGACTATAAGAAGTCTTTCCAGGGTTGGCAGAATCGTCTGCAACGTTGCATAGATGTTAACGGAGGGAATGAAATAGTTGTATCAATAATTATTATGAATTTCTGAAAATGAAGGTCCACGCGCAAGACTTTTCCCCCCCGCTGAACAACTTCTAATTAGGACAGTTCTTCAAATCAACACTTTTTGCTATAAAACAGCATAGCAAAGAGTCTGAGAAGCCCAGTGAGATTTCTGCAAATTAAATTAACTCTGCTAGTTCATAAGCATGTTGTACCTCAGTTGGAAACCTGTCTCAGTTCTGGACTGAGACAACTGAGTTCTGAACTGAGTGACTGGGTTCCGAACTGAGACAGGTCCCAAACTCAGACACGACAAGCATATCCGACTTTTTAAAGTTTGTTTCTTTTAATCAGCTTTATGCAAGTGTAAGAAAATTAGATTTTGTATACCGACTTTGGTGGAGTTTTAACGCTATTGCTGTATTTGCGCGCGTCGACAGAGACCAGTTTCGAAAATGAATATGTATGTTCCAATTCAAATTAAAGTACACGACATTGATGGTCAATACTCATAAGAAAAAAATTTTTTTTTTAGTAATTAATATTAATAAATTAACCCAGTCTCAACAACTTAAAACCCAATTTGATTAATCTGTTCTTTTACCTTTCTCTAGGTATGGTTTTATTAATCATGCAATCAAGTCGTAGTCAAGTATTGACTGGGTCGGTTTTAGTTGACTAACCAACTTGACCTTGACAGACTATTTTGAGAATTTTTGCATTTAGTTAGTCAATTGCAGTGTTTACTAATTACAACTTTTTTTAATTTTTATATTAATTTAATATGACCAAAAAGCTAATAATTATCTGTAGCTGCTCTAATTCAGTCAAAGTATAATCAGGCAGCATTTAACATATTAATATACATGTACTTGACTCAGAAGCATGCTAATTATCTAGTTTAAAATTTTAATTTAAACCACATTATCTGGTTTTTGACAAACTCAATCCAGCGATACTCCAACAGACTTGATAATAATAATGTGCAAAGTTCATAGTAGTAACTTGCTGCCAATAGTATTGTTTCAAAGTTATTCTTGTAATCAGTAAAGGGGTGTAAGCATTAAAATAAAATTAAATTCAACAGAAGCAATTGTCTCAACGGCATTGAGCCGCTTCGACAAAACAAACAAACAAAAAAAAAACAAATTCTTATTTCTAAAGCGGAATTAAGACCAAGCATTGAAAGCTCGTTTTGCCGTTGTAACATTGAGCTGTCTAATAAGGCTGCCTTTGACTTTTCTACCATATCAACAATACAACTTACGTTTTTTCCGTACAACTCTTTGTGTATGTTCCGTTACTATAATATAATATAATTCAATGCTTTCATAATAACCGCAAACCAAACGAGTGTATTATTACTTTTATGCCGCACACTCGCTTTCTGAATAGATAAATTTCCTATCTTTGTCCTTCTATAATTTGGTTTTATTGAGATTTTGCTTGCGTCTTGCCTTCTCTTGATATGTTAACTATGTACTTTGTCGGACAGAAGCTATAATTTGTACGGAAGAACGTGTAACTGCTATGTGCGATCGCATTGATTTTGCAGTACAAACTTTGTGTCAATGAAATTTAGTCAATAAACAACAACTTTAAATTCCGTGTTCAACGTTTGAACCAAATACAAAGCAATAAACTGACAACAGTTCATTTTACGGTTTTCTCTAATAACGGGCGTATGATAACTAAAATATGATTGTTGATTTATTTGTTTTCTTAAATTGCCGATTGCGTTCTATTCTAAAGGTTGTAGGGTCCCAATGATGGTCATAAATAACTACATGTCCTGTCTGCCTGCCTGGAAATAACACTTGTATGTAGCCATTCCTTTCGATCTAGTCTGCGGTGTATTAAATGAAACTCATCGAAAATTTCCATGTGTATACAAATGAAATTAAAGACGATCCATTAATAAATTTGTAGATGATGTTATCGTATGAAGGTGCAATGTTGCATTATGCATTATAATTGTTGTGTCTGAGTTTGGGACCTGTCTCAGTTTGGAACCCAGTCACTCAGTCCAGAACTCAGTTGTCTCAGTCCAGATCTAAGACAGAAATCAATTCAACTTCCTGGATCCAGCGACCACTAGATCTTGCTGTGTATTTCGAGACATTTAATTTTAACCAAGACATCGCAAGGATAAGTATCGCTCTTCATGATTGTTTGGTAACTGTCAACTAATCACGTTAGTATCTATAACACTGAACAGGATCTAGTTAACCTTGGAGGTAGATCGACAACCCTTAATATTGATCCTTTGCCGTCAAAACCAGTAATAGCTGATAAAAAGTCAACCAGTACTACACGAACTATCGTCAGCGTTGTTCAATATTAAATAATGAATGTGTTTCGCTTGCCTGTAACGTTATTGTTATGGATAAAAAATTTTACGCCCTGAGAGGGGCTCGAACCCTCGACTTTAAGGTTAAAAGCCTCACGCTCTACCGACTGAGCTATCAGGGCTAACAGTGCAAGCCTCTGGATTATTTTATTATTCAACTAAACAATCCAATGAAAATTTTTGCCGACACAACTACTTGCCCACGTTAAGACGAGATTTTTTCCAAGTCTGGAAGATCATATATTGTTTAGTCTTTTTCGGGCAAATTTGAGCTATTACCAGGATATCTTATTTATTGAAAGCTAGGTTAAAACGATACATAAATCGAACATGACAGTGACAATTCTCTACTATTAAATTTAATACATGGAAATAAAACATATAGCGTTGCATATACCATATTTGATGTGTTCAAACGTGCAAACGCACTAAAATTGAATTCAGAAAAAAAGGAGAAAAGCTTCTAACGTAAAAGCTATCTTGTTACTCGTGACAAGAAACAGTGCATTACTAATTACTAACTAGTAAGCGTATTGTTTAAATTTGAGAACTAATAATCATAATCATTGCCAAATGTTAAAAAACACGTCTTCCACATTACCAGATTTCATGCATAAATCTTATTCTAATAAGAAGCTACTTCTTTAGGGGGTTTATAGTATTCTAAGAGTCGGTCTCTTCTTTTAATTGTTATGCGGGAGGCGAAAAAAAAGAACAGACGCTGTCCAATGTTCGTATTTGGTACAAATACATTGTAAAAAACGTTCAATTTCGTCAACAGAGAAGTCGATTAAAGGAATATTATAACAGTATAAACTGTTGATTTATTGCAAATACATTGTAAAAACATGAGGTTTTCCGTCTTTGTCAATTTCGTCAAGATTAAAGTAATATTATAAACAATATAAACTGTCGAATAAACTACTGCTTGCACACAAATACCATAACTGATTAAATATTCAACAAGTCTAAATCAAATGTTCCTAGCATGCATATAATTGACAAAAAATCTTTTGCCTTCGCCAATTTCGTCAAATATTATAAACAATATAAACTGTCGAGCGAAGGCGGATTAATTATAAAAAATGTTCATGAGATTTTCCGTCTTCGCCAATTTCGTCAACAGAGAAAGTAATATTATAAACAATATAAACTGTCGAGTTAATTTCGACAGCTAAAGTAATATTATAAACAATATAAACTGTCGAGTTAATTTCGACAGTTAAAGCAATATTATAAACAATATAAACTGTCGAGTTAATTTCGACAGTTAAAGTAATATTATAAACAATATAAACTGTCGAGCGAAGCGGATTAATTGCTGCTTGGGGCTGTTTGGCCGAGATGTCGTGTCCGGCGTTTTACGAAGATGCTTTTTGGTTGCATGCTTGTCCGTATGTAGTTGTTTTTTGTTGTTGGATGCTGGCCTGGGAATCGATAGAGGAGATTCCGCAGGCGTGTTTGGGTTATACCGGAAATGTATCTCGGAGTTTTGCGTTCCTTTATTAGTTGCAAAACATGGTACGGTCCCAAGCTCTACACATGTGAGCAAAGTGAAACTACAAGGGACTTGCGCTGCACCGTTCGTTTCGTATGAGAATTTTTTGTTTATGCCGGAGTCTCTTATAAACGTCCCATGTACCGGTTCCGGCTGGACAACACAGAGAGCTATGCCCCGTCCGGTATAAACTGACTGTATATATATTTGCATGTAAGGGTGAGAGGTGTTAAGAACGTGTTGGTGTTAAGAACTTGTTGGTGTTAAGAACTTGTTGGTGTTAAGCGTTCGGTTGAACGTTGGGAATGTGATGAAAATGTGTGTTTATTTTATAGGTTTGTGGGTGGGGGTAACACAGTTTTCGGAATATAATATTTTAATTGTCTCTTGAGTTATTAACGTTGCACATTACACAATTAATAATAATGTTAGTTTGTCGGATTGTTGGTTGGTTGTTCTATCAAGTCTGAGTTCCAGTTTGTAGCAACCTTATCTTCTTATCACTATTACACTATTCTGCTATTTGTCCATCGTGTGTATCATGCATTATCTTGCATCGGTACGGTCATTTTCTCTTTTCTAATAATGGTGAAACCACTAACCTATCAAAATGTCTGAACTTTATCAATTGTAGGAAGGATACGTCATCATCATTCCATCCCAGTCGAGTCGCCAACTTTATGGATGGATGCTCATCATTGAAACCCTTTATTCGAGAACCTCAGGGTGAATAACTGATTTTAGAAGAAACGACTTATTTATCGGCATTAATGTGAGCTGCTGCTCTGCCGTGTGAGAATTGGATAATTTTATTAATTGCACTTCTTATAATTCAGCACAACTTGCATTGGTTTTGGGCCAATGAATATTTTGGTAAAAGTAATTACAAAATGTTAAAGATTATAATATATTATGTGTGTTGCTACTCCAAACTAAATTACAATTTTATACAAATACAGTATACCCCAAATTAAAATGGCTTCAGGGTTCCGAACAAATTAATTCAATCCTTTACTTTAAACGTCTTCTCCAATCTCGACATTTGTGATGCACGCGCATTCAATGTTAATGTTGTAGTAGTAACATAAATGCCCGACTTTTCTTCATTCCGGCTCGTTTCTGCATCGCTGTCGTAATCTGTGCTAGCCGTCTGAGTTGACGTTGTATCCTTGTCTTTGTCTGTTTCAAGCTGACCGTCATCCATATCCACATATCTCGTCTCTTCCTCTCTTTCATGACTCTCATTACCTGCTCTCCCTTCCTCTACGTCGTCCTTCTCACGTTCTCTTTCCATCTCCTTTTTTTTACCCTTGCTACGCCACGATAACATGTCATTAATGATTTCTCCAAACGACAAGTGCTTCATGGACACGATCGCAAGCTTATCCACGTCGATCTGTTCGATGACTGTTGATCGTGGATGCTCCATAGATGTTCCGACTGACTGGTTATATGGAAGCGGCGTTATTATTGATTCTTGCTGTGGCGGCGGCGGAGTGGAACTGGTCTTGGGAGTGGATTGTTGGTACGAGAAGAAAGAATCGAGAGATATTGGATGAAGAGGAGGAATAGATATGCAAATGGTTATTGCATATGATACGCTTATTTGTGCGATTGCCAAAAGCGTAGTTGATACCATTTTGTCATTTTTGTTATTCTCGGTACTGTTGTGGCCTTCGTTCCATATATTAACTGCAATCCAGAAGAGCGCCACTATTACTCGAACCAAGTTCCAGGATATGGATATGCTGTTTTTCTTCTTTTTATCACCATTTTCCAATTCATCTCCTTTTTCCTGGCAATTGACCGCAAGGTTTCTGAAGTGAATAACAATACGGATCAACCGTAATGCGATATATAGATAGAGCATTAGATCAATTGATCGGTAAGTGTATAGTAATGGTCGATTTCCTGATAAGGGTAAACAGACAGATGAAAGGGATGATGGGTCGTAAAGAACCGTCGGCCACAAAAGGCTGATGTAGAGAATCTTTGAACGAATGGAATGGGGATAGAAGTGTTAATTAAGTCGGTACATTGTGTGTCTTGGGTGCACATAGATCTTTACAAATAGTTAACGGAGCACTTACATTAAGAACCGACCTCAGTAATATCAATACCAATCCGATTGACAAATCCCTAACATTTCTTTCTACTTCCCTCACTCGCCACAGAATAAAAATGGCCAAGGCTCCGTCAAACATAAAATCTCCCAATGCGTGTAGATATATCATTGCCTTACACGAGTCATCAGACACGTTGTCTCTCGGAAACATTGTTAATGCAAATGCAAAGAGCGCTGTAATAAGCCCGACAATGTTGAGAACAATCTTTTGAATACGAGCCATGCGCATGTTGCATGATGTTTTGGTATGTGTGAAAATGATACGGGAAGTGTTGTGAAAATAGACCTGATGTAGAATGCAACACTGGGTTATAAAAGCGAAGATAAAAGTCAAACATTGAGAATAGTTTATAATGTTTTGCCCACCATAGCCACTAATCCCATGACAAATCCAATATAAGTCGAGAGCTGATAATCATCCATTTGGGCTCTTTCTTCCAAATATCAACCAGTACTATAATCGATGACTAGCCCTCGGCCTTTTTACTTTCTAATAAGATCACTCAGACCTGCATTCAGTGATTTTGATAATTCTGTGTGCAAGTGTGACTTGTAGCAAGCGGGGAGGTACGTGGAAATCCTGCTACAAGTATCGGGAGTCCCTATTTATATCATATGTTGTAAACATTGAAGAATGCCATACGTTTTAGGTTAAAGTGGAGTATACCAAGCTCACACACATTTCTGCTTAGGATTCATTGTATCTCTTTTTTTTTTTCCATGTTTCGTTGGATATTTTTCATTCAGACAATATCAACGCGCACAGAATCGTTAATATTATTTCGAGTGTGTTACAGCAAAACAATGCTACACAAATAGTTCAGGGGTTAAATACCCACAAATATTGTCTCACACGGGTTTCCTTTTTTAAAACTGCCACAGAAATGTCATTTGCTATTTTTGCTTCTTACGTTTAAGAGAAGTGACTATTTAATATTAAAATCAATGAATGAAAAGGTGAAACCAACTATAACAATATTAAATTTTGTCCAAAGAAATAGACATTCCCGCTGAGCAGTATCGATATTAATATTAAACGGAAGGCACGGGGGCGATCAGATGACAACGATGTTTAGACTTTACGTGTAGATGTAGTCATCCCCCCCGTGGTCGTCCAAATGAACTTTATGTTATTTATATTAGTAAAAATTGATTATATTAAAAGTTTGATCTTTGATTGGTCTAAGCATTGACTGTATCCAGCAAGTTAATTTGACAAAGGTCTTTGGCTTTGTTGGTACGTTCTCTCCTCTAGTTTGCTGCTTTGCTGCAATGTTTCAAGAATTTTCAAGAATTCTGTTTTGGTTCCACTTGTTTTTCTTTCTTTGTTTGGCTTTTTCCTATACAAATCCAAGCCATTGATAGGATTGAGCTAAATACGAATAAAAGAAAAGCAAATTGGTCGAGATGCTTGATAATGAATCGTGCCCGTCTATATATGGAAAGGCCAATTATAGCACTAAAATTTTAGGCGCCTAGTTTGATTAGTTCGAGATGGTAGTGAGAGGTTTTGCTGCTCAAGTTCCAATAATTAAGCTTATTATAATAATACGTTTCTCTATATGACATGTTCAAAAATGTTGCGAGAGGAAAGTTTCTCAACTAAGAGAGCGTCGTAATAAAAACCATGGAACTTACACACCGAATATCGAAACAAGTATCGCCTTTTTATAATGTGTAACGAGATCTAATAATACAGTAATACCCGTGTACTTTACACTATTAAATTCATACTTTAAAGTTTGTGAATTGTTACAAATAATTTCTTTTTATCGAAACTGTTCGACAAATAAATTCATGGCCTAATTGATTTATTTCTTGCTGATTATGATATCAGTTTAAAGAAATGGTGTATATCGATATAGCATAAACTATGTGGGTCTGGTTCATTTCCCCGACAATCACTTTCCCGACAAATGTTCACCAATATTATTTCGAAATTATCCTTTTTGGTAATTAATTGTCGGGGAACCCCGGCTATGTGTATAGCATGGCACGATTGAAGCGTAGAATAACACGCTGCCAGTCAACATGTATATGTATAACAATCGTGTTCTGAAAGATTTACGACATAGGAAATCATTTACTTATACCGAAAGAAGTTAAAGTCAGTTGTTTAACCATAATAATAACAATAATGATACGAATTAAAATAAGCTTATTTGTAATTAACTGTAATCTTGCAAAATTCAATATACTAATACCGTATTATTTGATTACGTAAGATTTAACACTATTACTATTACTATCACTTATTGGACTCGATAACTAAGAATTTACGTCAACAAACGTTACACAGCTCGGGTTAGAAATTCATAATTCACACATTGACAAGTCTTTCTGCTTGAAATGAAAGCATCTCATAGACTCGAGGTCTTGTCGCTTTATCGGGGCATTCTCAAGGAAGCATCTCTATTTTTTGATTCAGACGCAAGGTTAGAGACAATCAATGTTGGTCCGAATGAAGCTTCTATCTGCGCTGCATTCATCAGATGAAAAAGAAAACAAAACATTAATACCCCTCCTCATTACCAACAAACAGAATCTATCTAAAAGAACGTACAAAGGAAAGATTTAGAGCACACAAAGACGAAATAAATGTGCAACGAATCAAAAACCAACTTGCAGATGCTAGGAAGGTTCTACCACACCAACGATGTTACGGCAACCAGCATTTGTGACTGTTATTGATCAATTTAAAAATCTGTAGGCATTTCATCAGCTGCAAAGAGCAAATGTATACGACGTAAAATCTGTAATGCGTATTTTGGAATTTTCTTATGGTAGACGAGGCAAGAAAAAACATGAACTTCTCAAAGTAGGGATAATTCTCAATGGAAAAGAAACTCAATCTCTAAAAGGTCACTAGTCTCATTCTTATCCCCATTCAATTCTTCCACACCTTTCTATTCTTTGCTCTCGAAGCCTTTCATCTCCTTTCCATCCGCCGCACCCGCACCTCTTATTTCGCGTGTTCCACGCACCGCACCGCCCCGTATCCCACCTCCTCTCCGCGCACTGCTCGCCTCACAAGTAAAATCAATTGATCCCATTCTTCCTATTCCAAAGCATAAACCACTTCACCCGCGCCGAGAGGCTAATTTGCGATGGAGACATTTTTCGAAAATAACCAAACAGGTGTTGCCACCCTTGCCTCAAGATGTGGTTAGAGAGTTGGAAGAGAAGGCAGGGAAAAATTTGGGGAATGCGGAAGTAGAAGAGAGGATGAATGATAGGCGGGAGTTGGGCGAGAAGGAAAAGAAGTATCTGGATGAGAGGAGAGAAACAGAGGATGTACCAAGGTCACCGAGAGACAAAGTTAGAAATGGAGAACCATATCATGTTGGGCGACCGCATACCCCAAGATCAAGATTAATTAGGAGATTTTATCAAAAATTGTTGGCCCAAGTTCCAGTTATGCATATGTCGATAACTGATAAAGACAAGAAAAATAGCGAAGAAAGCCGATCAACGAATCATCATGAAACTCATTCTCTCGAAGTTTTGATAAATATGCCAAACGTACAATACAAGTTTAGTAAATCTGCCTGGGCAGACAGAAGACCATTACCTCTTGTGAGCTGTGAGGATAGAGAAGGATTAGAAGACAACGAATTAGAATCGAAAAGGAAGGATAAAGGGAAGACAAAGAATGAGCGTAGAGAATCAGGACCACTAAAGAATATTAAAAAGAGTTATGTGTAAAAACGACAAGACATTGTGCTTTGGAGTTGGTGTGTTAGTTGGTATGTAAAGATGGTTAATGTATAATATGTAATAGACCATGCACGTGTACAGAAGCAGTCTTGTAAACTATATGCGCTGGACTTATTATGAAAAGACATCTTTTATAATAAACGTTCTAGGGAGAGGCAGCCCGGATAAGATCAAGTCTTTTGTTTTAAGAAAGTTCCAATTACTGTTTGCGCGCGCGCTTTATGAAACTCCCATTTCAAAATAGAAAAAGAGCGAGTTTACTTAATTCACATGAAGGTACATGTGAGATGGAAGAGTGACACTTCACAAATAGCGGGCTACTCTTGGCAATTACTAACGCGTGAAGGTATCCGATTCCTTTTACCTTAACGATGCTCTCATAACAGTTCTTTAAGAAAAGCAGAAAACCTTATAGCAAAAGATTATGTAAGTTCTGATAACACTTTCTTTTAGAGCATATCGGATTTTACAGGCGAACTCATTGAAACTTTTTAATTCCCAACTTGCCCTTGACATACCAGTCATGGTTAATTCTTATTCAAAATTTTGAGTCACTAAGTGATAGGATAATAGACGACGACGTTAA